AAAAATTCTGTGACTTTTTGCAACTTTGGATATCAGAGCGCTTTTTGTATAAACACCTGCAAATGGAGTTTCTAAGAAAAGCAATTACAAGCTTGCTGCAACAATCGTGTTTGTGTATTGTTAAATAAATATGTTGGTTGTCTTCATTTTTTTGTGTATTCATTGTACTGTATCGAATAAAATGGTTATGCAGCCCATGCTCATCATTCTCTCAGTTACCTTGCCCACTGTGAAAAAAGTTTGTTGACCCTTGCTATACTCTATACTCAACAATTTCTTCTAAATTAATACCAATTCAGCACTGTGGCCCTACAGTATCATTCCATCACCACCAATCTTTTGAAAACAATATTAATAATTTTTCAGAATTTTGAAAGAAAGCAATCTGTCTTCATAATTTATATAAAGTTTAGCCAAGCCTTCAATTCTGTAATTCCCACTTCCTCTCAGTTCTCAGAGATCACAAAATTGAACCTGTTTATCAATCCTGGCTTAATAATTACCACCACCTTAATACCTATAAACATGGCAATTTTGAATTTATGGATTCCTCTCCCTTATGTGGAATTCAGCAAGGTTCCACTTTAAGCAGCCTATTTTTTTCTGTTTATTTAAACAATATCATGACTAGGGATTGCAATCCAGCTGAATTTTTGCTGGACCAACATCATTCCAGCTGGATCCAGTGCGGATCCAGCTGGAATGATGCACAGATGTTTTCTGGTGCAATAAAGTGTTATCTATCTATCTATTTATCCAAAATTTATGGGTTTTTTGAAGAAATAAAACATTTTTTTAAAAATACTTAAACTTTTATTATTTAGACTGGTCACTATAAATCAGTAAAACTTCTTACACATTTAGGTAGTAAACAACTTTGGTTCGGTTTAACACTTGAGATAGAGATAATTAACTTTCAATGTTTAGTTAGATTATAATTATAATGTAATCTTTAAGTTAAATAATAGCAAAGATAATTCTACTAATTAATTTATATTAATATATTATTATAATAATGTAAGGATGGATAATCAATGGCTAAGTGGCTATCAGTCTTACCAGTTTTCTTATATAGGCTCTACATATCAGTCTGTAATTACTTATAAGTAATTTAATTATTAGTGTTAATAAAGTAGTGAGTAAGTAATTAGTAGTAGTCTAGTAGTAATTATTATTATCACAATCACGAATCACGTACCTTCATATCATCATATATCTAAGATACTGATACTCATTAATTTAATTAACTATTTAATTAACTAGGTAGTCTCAGTTTCTCACTAATTTTCACAATAAAATTGCCTAGCCTAGCCCACTAACCACTTATAAAATAAAAGTTAAAAACTCTTACTTAATAGAATTAGAGTAGAAGTTATAAAATATTAGTCTTGTCTTGAATTTTAAAGGATTAAATAAAATTAAATCAATCACTTCTGTTATTTTTTTTGACTTTTCTAAAAATAGGATCTCAAGAAACAAATGGTATTGATGGTGTTGTCTCCCAACCTACTTCTTAATGAACTGCATGTATATCCCTCCCTATATAAGGCCTTTTCTGCCTAAACACTAGTTGGTTTCAGTGTCATCAAATAATGATAAATCAAAGATAAGTTTTCACCTCTGACTCCTTCACTTTCATAAACAGCCATTTCCTTTTTTAATAACTTATCATAATCCTTCTCAGTAATAATTTCTTTCCGTTTCATGAAGTTTTCTTTCTCACGCTTTAGTTGGATCTCTAATTCTTGTTCCAATGTGAAATTCAGGAAATCCATTTTCCACCTCCGTAATATCCTCTGCTATTGCTGCTGGTTCCACTACATATGTATTTACACGATTCAGCATATTTTTCATCTGGTGCATTACATTTTTTTTGGCATGTGAAAGATAAAGCTTTCTAACTTTTTGGTCATACATCTTTGGGTTCTATATGTAAATCAACATCCCCGTGACCTCGGTAAGACGCCATTCTCTGATTCTTTTGAGAAGTGCCTCGGAAAGGTCGGCACTCAAGATTGTGTCCTGGCTTTTTAGTTTGTCTAAGACAAATTTCAGGGTTATGTCAGCAGTTATCAAACTCGACTCTTCTGCAGAGAGCTTCTACGGCCAGTTTAAACTGCGATTGTTCCATCACATGATTCATTGACGTCACAACCGACTGTAAATTAGAATTATGCACCAGGACTAGGATAGGAGTTACTTATTTTATTTAGCGCAAAGACACTTTATTTAGCAAGAGCAGAAAGTCAACTGGCAATTAGATCAGCAGAGGTAAAAGGGCAGGCGGCAGTGCAGTGTAGAGAGGGGTTGTAGCACGTGCTGCACTGAACGGCAACGTCGCTCTCACCTCCGAGCGATAGCGCACGTAGCAAAGCGGCAAGGCCAACAACGTAAACTTTTGCACCATTATTTAGAAAGTTAATTGAGTATTTGTGGATGCACAGCACTGGTTCCAGCACCTGGTGCTGGATCCAATAGGCCAAAAAATGTGCTGGATCCAACTGGATTGCTGGATGAGGAACCCAGCAATTGCAATCCCTAATCATGACATGAGGGTCATATTGCTTTGTCTATGACATGACATGAGGGTTGTTATCAATGACATGAGGGTCATATTGCTTTGTCTATATCCAGGGTGGCCAAGCTCCTTGATAGTTCGAGCCATTTTTCAAAATTTCAAATTTTTCGCGAGCCGCAATTAAATACGTATTAAAAAGGTATGCAAAAAATTCCAGAATACAAATTATATCCGTAGCAAGAGTGATACAAATTGTTTCCTCCAGAGCACAATGTCAAATGTTCGTTGCAGTTTACAAATTCAAAATCGGTCTGGAGTCGGTCGATAACGGACAATTACTCCACTGTTTATGTTCGTTCGCGCAGTTTTCGATGAGTCATATCATTCTTAACTTGGACGGAAATGAAATTTGTTACAACGTTACACTTAGTCCTTCATATTTGTTGTTAGTAATTTAAAAGACATTTTGAAACACATACGGAACGATAATAATTTTTTAAAATATAATAACACAAAAATGAAAAGGAAACTCGGGTACATTTATCGAGAGCCACAAATAATCCTTCACGCGGGTTGGCCACCCCTGGTCTATATTATTCTATGCTGATGATATTAAATTGATTAACAATGACCCTCATGTCATTCAGTTTGATCTATTCCATTTATTTTCCCTTTTAGAAAAAGCTAACCTAAAAATTAATATACAAAAAACTGTAATCATGTGCTTTTCACTTATTTGTAATTTTCAGTTGCCCACATTCTATATTTACAATAATCATGTAAAATATGTTAATCTTATAATGACTTCAGGGTCATTTTTGATCCTAAACTTACTTTTAAGGGATATGTTGATAAGATTATTAAATCTCTAGCTATTTGTTGTGGAATTCTTTGGTGTTTTTGCAAAACTATTTTCTCAAAAACAGTATTATGATCCATTTATTTTGCCAATATTCAGTCTCTACTCAACTATTCTCTTCCAATAGGGCTTGGCTGCCTCATCCCATTTACAAAAAATATTAAAAGAATTAGATAAAATATTTCTTGTACGTAGACATCTCTTTAATCCAAAACTTGTTTGGTAGATTATCTCACAGCATTTCGGTTATAAACATCTTTATTTTAAAAATTGGATTTCAAATGCATTTTGGGTTTGTTTACATTCCCAACCCCTCTTTAGTGCTGAAAAAAAGTCTTCACTAAAGTGTACTGGTACCCACGCACTTTAAGTGCATGAAAATATAATATAATAACAGTTTTTGAGCATTTGTTGTGAACATAACACATGTATTATTTATTATTATTGTATGCATGTATGCATGCAATCAACTTTCAAACAGTAGTATTTTCAAAAACTACTGAGAATAATACCCATGTTTGTATAAAGGTTTTTTTATTTACAATGATCCATACTATTATATTCCAACTGATTTCCCTTTTTTCCTGATTTACATATACAGGGTAAATCAGGAAAAAAGGGAAATCAGTTTTTTATATAAATTTTAAATATAAATTATGTAGCAACTTTTTATGTATTCTATAAACATTTTTTATGATTTGATGAAACTTTAAGCTTATTAAAGTTTCTATTATAAGCTTAATTTATAATGAAGAAATATTGAAAACTTGCTTAAAAACATTATTTTGGAGAAGTTAATACTTCTGTAAATTCTGTTAATACTTCTGTGTAAAATCTTTATTCAGATAAATGAAGAATACATTTCTTGTTTAAGGGGCTGTCCATTAATTACATCTGCATTTTAAAAAAAATTTTTACTTTCCCTCTCCTCTTTCCCAGTTTATCCAAGTTTCCATAATCCCCTCTCTTTGGACATCCAGCAAAACTCAACCCCCTGAAACTCTTTATTACTTTAAAAGTTTAAGAATGATAGGCCTAGATATCATAAGTAGAAACAAAACATACAAGAAAATTTGAAATAAATGTAATAAAATACATAAACTGTATAAAATTTAATGAAATAAAACAGACATGCTTCAGTGCATGTCTGTTTTATTTCATTAAATCAGTCCTTTCCCTTGTTTTATTTCATTAATCAGTCCTTTCCCTCCCCCTGTTCGACTTGTCATAACCCTCTCCAATCCTTCTAATGTGGGCATCATTTATGGACAACCCTTAATCAAATAATTGTAATTTTCCATTTCAGTTGTATTAATTATGATATCACTTTAGAATTGAACTGACTTAAGCAGTATAATGATTGTTATAATTTTCAAACCAGTATAATGATTGTTATAATTTTGATTGTTATAATTGGAATAATGATTGTTATAATTTTCAAACCAGTTTATAAGATTACACTTACAGAAAGAAAAAATTATCTGATGTCACTGAACATCTATCAAACTCACGTAATGATTCTTATGTTTTATTGATACATGGAAAAGATTGGCTTCTATTTGAATTAAATATATCTTTAATATTTTGCAACATGAAATGATGGATATAATAATTATTTTTTAGGTGGAAAAAAGAATTCAGAAGTTCCAAATAAGGAGGTGGTGTTTTACTTTGTACAAAAATTCAGTTAAGTTTTTATTTATTCCCTTAAGCTTTTAATTTCAGAAATATAGTAGAGTTCTGCAAACTCGACTTAATGTGGATTGAGAATGTAACAAGTTATTGAAAATGATAAGTTTTACAGATAGCAATGATGCTAGTCTAAATAGTGGAAACTAATAGTGGCTATTTCTATTTGTAGTTAAATTTTAATTTAAAAAAATGTTGGTTATTCAGCGACTACTTTAGAGTTAGTGACATTTGCCTTGTGGTGTTTTGCAGTGGCATTTTGAGAAAAAGGCTTGTATTCTTGTTAGCACATGAAATTGATGCTGTTATTAGGTGTTGCTAGTGAAGAATGATAACTTATTTGATCCTAGTGTTAAATTATAAAGGTAAAAATTAGATTAGAAGTATTATTTTTTAATAACGAGTTTAATGGAATGTTGAATTATTGAGAGTTGAGTTTCCGGGACTCTACTATATAATTAAAATTTGTTTTGACCAAAACAATTTTTATTCTAAACAGAAAAAGTAAAATGCAGATAATTAAATGTAGTGTCAAAATTATGTGTTGAAGTACCTAAATTAAAAAATGATGATGATAAATTTTTATTGTATACACAATAGGGAATATTTCTTATTTTTAACATTTTAAATTTTGCATGTTCCTATTAATAATTTTAAATTAAAATAATTTTATTTTTTTTAAATTCCATAGTAGAATAAAAGATACATTCAATAGCATTTAACATATTTGCTACCAAAAATATTTTGTATTGCTGTTATCAACCATTTTGCTATAACTTTTTTGATCTGATATTGTTTACTTCTATTTGTATCAAAAGAAGTTATATAAAAATTGCTTTTGAATTATTTAAGTGTTGAAAATATCAAAGAAAAAATTGTTTTCTGATGTAAAAACAAAATATGAGTCATTAAAATAAATATTTATTAAATATTTTAAGTATTTTCATTATTATAAAATAATAACCTTCAAGAACAAAATACAATTTTGTAAACAATTATTGGGCAGCAATTTGAAAAAATTATAGACCTATAATTTCCTACTGTCATCCCTCTGTCTGTTTTTCCTTAATTAATTAATTTGGAGAATGGAATTACATACATGAAAGCCAAGATCATATATGGAAAGCTTAGGGACAGGAGGCCCCAATTAACTATATATGAACTTCTGATGCAAACCAGAAGTTACATTATTTCAATTCAAAAATTTCCTCTGAAAGGAGTTAGATGAATGGCATGACTCTATTGCAAACAGGAAAAGTATGTTCTGTCCATATTCTATTATAGATTCAAAAGATTACTAAGGGAATTGTTTGACAGATTTTTAATCATGTTATAGTGGATTTTATCCAGGCCTACAGCAGTATTCTCCCAGTGGAGATCACTGTATGTAGTTCTGTTCTAGTGAATGGTACATTGTATTCCTCATTAGATGAGGAATGGAAGTTTGAATCTTGCTTTTCTGTTTGCACTTTATAAGCTTGAAAATTTTTCAAATACATTATATTGCTGGATGAAGAGGAGAACGTTTTGCCCAACAGATAGCAATACCTTGTATATCACTGATTATTGTGCCATTATTTTCCAGCGTGGACAAAGACTGAGAGGTGTACTGTACTTCCCATTAATTTTATGGATTTTGTCCCAGACTGCTTTTGAGCTACTGGAAGATGTTATGCTTGAAACATACTTCCCCAAGAATTCCTTTGGCTTTGCCTCCTTATTCTTCTGGCATTTGCCTTTGCTTTTTGAAAAGCAATCAAATTTCCAGCTGTAGGGTATCTTCTGAAAATCCCCCATGCTTTCTTTTGTTCTTTAAATGCTGCCTCGCAATTCTGATTCCACCATGGTTTTGGATGTTTTCAATATCTGGTTGATGTTTCTCCCATTGTTTTTCAGCTGCCTGAATAATATTGGAAGTGATGGCTTGAACTGCACCATTGATATCAGTAATATTGACCATTTCCTCAGAGATGTTGGCCATAGAGGAGAATGCAGGCCATTCGGGTGTTTCCAGTTTCCAGCATGGTGGACGGGCTGTTTCACAGCTTTCTCTGCCTTGATATTTTAGAAATATTGGGAAGTGGTCACTACAGAGTGGATTAGATCCAACCCCTCATGTAAATGTTGAAAACAGGTTTGGGGTTGCTAATGATAAATCAATGGCAGTGAATGTTCTTGTTGGGGCATGGAAGTATGTCACTTCTCCAGTATTAAATAAATATAGTTGGTGATTGCCTATAAGTCTCTTAATGGCTCTGCCTCGACAGTTAATGTTGGGACTGCCCAACATTGGATTGTGACCATTGAAATCACCAAGTAAAAGGAACAGAGTTGGCAGCTGTTCAGCCAAGGTATTCAATTCATCCTCATTGACTCTGACATCTGGTGGCAAGTATATAGAACAAACTGTGATAGTTACTCCAATAGAAATTCTGACGGCCACAGCTTGCAAATCAGTGGATATTTGTACTGGTAAGGATGGAATGCAATTTGAAAAGAGTATAGCCACACCCCCACTGGCACGGTTGTGGCTATCATCATCCTTGTGGTAGAGATCGAATCCTTTTAAGTAAATCCTTTCTCCAGGTTTTAGGTAGGTTTCCTGGAGTGCCACACAGAGAGATGGGGTAGATGACATCTGGTGTTTAATGTCATAGAAGTTGTTGCGGAAACCATGACAGTTCCATTGAATTATTTTATAATCCATTGTGTTTGAGGCAGCATTCTTTGCGAAAGTATCCCTCCTTAATTTCACAGGTGGTTTTTCTTTTGGAGGTGACTTTTGCTCACCTCCATATTATTCTCTTCGTCAGAGATATCAGAAAACTCACTCATAGACTGAGCCTCTGATTTCTTTCATGATTTAGAGAGGTTTTAATTTTTGTTTGTTGAGTGGGTTCTTATTTGCCGTTTTAGAACCCACATTTCTTGTTATTACTCCTGTTTTAGGTAGGGGTGTTTTTGTCTTCATATTCTCCTTTTCTTCTGTTTCTTTAGATTGAATTAGTAAGCATTTCTCATGGCAAGTGAGAGATTCCTTTGGGGAAACAGAAATATCTGTTTGAACTCCACATGTCTTTGTAGATTTCAAAACAGCAGCAAATGTCTTCTGTTTCAGTGGTGCATGAGCCTCTGGGTAAGGTAAATTGTTAACTGTTTTCATTGGATTTCTTTTTCTCTTTGCCATGCAGGGCATTTCCGGGAATAGGCAAGATGGGCATCTTTGCACTTCACACAGCATGGGGTACTTTTGTATTCAGTACTCTTGTGACCACACTGTGCGCATTTGCTTTTCCCTCAGCAGGATGTTTGTGAATGTCCAAACTGCTGGCATTTGAAGCAGCACAGCGGATTTGGAATGTACAAACTAGACAGTGCAGATATCCTGCTGTAATAAAAGATGGCAATGTCGGGTTGTTGAGCGTGAGAATAAGAGGTTTACTTGGTATCAACTTGCTGTCTCGACGGATTGAAATGCATCAAACAGCAGTGACACCTTGGTCTGAAAGACCAACCTGAATATCTGATTCGTCTTCAGACATCAGATCAATCCAGATATCACACTAAGTGATGAGTTCAAACTTGTGTGTGGTGTGATAGTGACTCATGTCTCCTAGGGTCTTTGTTACCAGAAGCTTTGCTGACTGTTCAGGGGAGGCTGTTTCTACGAGCAAATCTCCTGACCTCAATTTTTGTATTTTTTTCAGATGCCCAATTGTCGATTCAAATAGCTTCTGGATCAGAAAAGGGGAGCATTTGGACAGTGGTTTTTTACCAGTGGCATGAACTATGAGGTAAATTGGCTGATTGGAGGAATTGGCATCTTTTGGTGGTGACACACTGTTTGTGGTTGTTTTTTGTTTTAAGGAATCCATACTAAAATGTAATTATTCAGCTCCTAGTGACCCCACCCACCATGGGGCCCAATGAGGGGTTGCTGTCATATGGGAGACTCCCATAAACCGTCACACCAGGGTTTCCCAGGAGCTATACCCTCACAATGCAGTCAAGAAGAGCACATCTTGTCTGACGTGACAAAACTGTCAAGCAGGGATGTGTTCGTTGGTCTGCATCGATCAGTTGACTCCAGGCCCGAGGTCAAGAATGACTCAACGACCAGCCAATTGACTCAAATGGAGCCTGATTTGATCCTCCCCTTTATCCGAAGCAGAGGCCAAAGCAGTGGGTTGGGAATGTTATGTTGCCTCTCAACTACCAGGATTCCCCTTTCCAGCATACAGGACATCATGCAAGGCAAACACATGGGTGGGCGTTCAAATTCAACAGAGGTGACAAAGAAGAGTTACTAAACCATCTCTTGGAAGTCTCCTCACCATGGACAGGAACCCACATCGATGGTATGACCAGAACGACTCTATTCTAACAGGAAAAGTATGATGTACAGGGACAAGACACTACTAATTGGGGTAGAGAGCATATATTTTAAATTAAATAAATTAAAAATATTATTAAAAATTGCAGCCTGACCTTGTGACAATGTTGCAAGAAATATTTGCTTGTTATAATAATTTTTTCATATATTTGTTTAGTTTGAATGATTATACAGTAGAGCGTCGTTTATCTGAATCAATTAAGGACCGAGGTTGTTTGGATAACTTATTTTTCGGATAACCGATTATGTAAGAAAAAATATATTAACCTGTCTCGTGTTGAAATTTTTCTCTGTTGAGTTTTCGTAAATGTTAAGCCTAATGTAAACTTTTTAAAATAATAATCATGGCTATTGTACCGTTAAAAATTATTTCTTTATTTTTTACAAACAAAATAAATATATTGAAAAATATAAAAACAAAAAAAATTATATTTTAGAAGTTAATCTAGTATCAAAAATGTTCGATTCAGCATGACACAGTCCCCAGAAAAACACCACACAAAAGTGCCAGTGTTGCCAGCTAAAACACACACACATCAACAAAAAAATATTGGAGTAGCCCAAGATATTGCCAAAGATTGCAGCGCCACAGCACTAGCGAAAATTTAAATTTGCCGACTGGAATTCTTTCGGATAACTGACGCTCTACTGTATAATTATGAAGAAACAAAATGAAAATTGTATGTTAGATTATATAATTTATCATATATTTCATCTTACAATATTTTTGTATATAATTATTTAAACTTTAAAAACAAGATAAAATGTGTTATGCCTGTTTGATTATTTTGAAAATTATCAAAACTGTTAAACATATTTGGCCAAAAATACATGAGAAAGACTACTATAAAAATGATTGCTATAAAAACACCATTTACTCATATTAGGCATGTATGAAATTGAATTATCAAAGTTTGTACTCCAGTTAATAAGGCTAGAAATTAGTGAGAAAGGTTTTGTGCTGTTAGTCTTGAATTATCAAAGAAAATAATTGATATTTGGTAGCAAATCTGTTAATTTTTACAAGCATATAACAACATTACATTCAGATTTTATTCTGATATTATGTTTAAATATTTTCAGGAAGAAACAGGAGAATCATCTGGAATTGGTAAGCTTTTTAAAACATAATTCTTAGCTTTTTCATATTTGATTAAATGTAACTTTTTCACATAAAACATTTCTGAAAATTTATGGAATGTCTCCTTAATTTAAGCTTAAAAAATCACAAGTAGAATTTAAGAATCTTATTTTATTATAATCAATGTAGTTTTTGTGAAGATTAGAGACAAGAAAAATATAATTTTGGGGTTTTTTTGATTTACAGTAGACCCCCTATAACACAGGTTCCTATAATTACAATTCCTATAAGACAGCGAAAAAATTGTGACGGTATCCGTACAAACCTGGTAAGAAAACTCCTATAATTCGGTAAAACGTCATCGGGCAGCCGAACAACTTTCTGCCGTCCAGCGCCACGCTATGGAGAATTTAGGCGGGTAAATTGCGTTTACTATCGTCTGTACAGTATTATATATAAATTATATATAAATTAGGTACTGTACATATAATTNAAATTGTAAGATTACTTACTGAGTGTGCACGTTCAACAACGCCATTGCTTAAGCTTGTTTTTGTCGCGGAGCAGTGCACCAAATGGCAGGTGCATTTTCTAATAAGTTATTTTTCTGCGAAAAATTCATTGAACTTTGGAGACATCATTAATATAAATAATTTTTATGGCCATTGAATAAGAAATGTTTTTTTCACAAGAAATGTATAAAATTACAGTACTGTATTAGACTTACAGTACCTAATTTATATACTGTACAGATGATAGTACCCGCCTAAACTCTCCATAGTGTGTAAGTTTGGCTGCTTATCCATTGTTGGTCCAGATTCGACCAATCCTGTTGTGACATGAGTCGGCGGTGACATTTTACCACATTTTATGAGTCTCTTTTAGCGTCTTTATACAAATACGGTCGCAATTTTTTCACCGCAATATACGAATCTGCATTATATGAATCTGTGTTATAGGGGGTCGACTGTATATATGAAATGAGAAATGTACATATTTCTGTCAAGACAAATTTTCTCTCAATAAATCTTAATTTATTGAGAAAGAAAACTTAGTTAAAATTTTATTTTGAAAATATGATGGTGATAATATATGTTTATTTGCTATTAATAAAACAATAATATTCTTTTACTTTAGTTAAAGAATATATTAAAAATATATTTACTATTACTGTAGAAATTAAATGCAACAGAGTATAATAAAATGTGTATATTTAATAATTGCAGGTCTGGATTGTCCGTCAGAGCATCATGAGGTAACGTCAATAAGATAGTAAATTTTATTTATATTTATGATAAGTGTAAAAATACTTTTCAATGGTAAAACTGCATTAAAATTTTTCAGCAAGTTTGATTAAATTTTTAAAAGAAAAAAAATTCAGTTATAAAACTAACAAAATTTTTGATATTAAAATGATTTTGAATTTGTTTTATCGTATTTAAAGGAAGATGCCCAAAAATTAATATATTCTATGTTAAATATCATATTTACTAAAATATGATATTTAATATGCATTAAATAAGAACAGAATGATCAAATATAGTTTTCACTTTAATTTGATTATGTTGATAAGCTTAAACATTTCAAGAATTGCAGTGGAATGAAAGATAACATTGAACTTCAATAAAGAATATAACAATTGGTATTTGTGGTGTTACCTTAATAGTAAGCTTTCAGTATCCCATGCTTTAGTATTAAACCCATACATAAATGTTTTAAAAAATATATATACAAATATTCATTATATAGATATATATTTTCATATGTTACTTTCCTTGTAAAATTAATTTTCCTTGTATAGCTGTTCTGTTATAAAGATTATTTGTTTCAATCATTGCACATGTATTGATATTAATATTCAGTTATAAAACAAAATAATTTTGCAGAATACCAAGTTAAGCAAATATATAATGTATGATTTTTGTAACTAGATTTTATCTTATTTTTGCATAAAATTTTGCTTTGGTTGTTTCAATTATAATGAAAATACATAAAATCATAACAGAAACTGGAATCTTAGCTTAGAGCAAACTTTACACTTATAACACAACTTCCAGTATCTAAGTTTCTCACAATTGTTTCTCTTGAATTTTAAAAGATTTTTAGAACATTGGCAGCTGAATTTTAAAATATAATGATGCTAAGAAAGATCAGTGGAATAATTTGTCTTTTTGGTTCTAATACCTGAAGAGAACCTTTGAAAAGACCAAAAACATTTGTATTTGTGAGTAACATAGGTACTGGAAGTTGTGTTATAAGCATAAGTTTACTCTAATGAAGATATAATGTAGAATTGAAAACAATCAACCAATTATTCTTTAGTATTCTTTTTTATATTATTTATTTATTTCAGTTTGGCACAAATCAAAATAAATAAAAGAAAAAATACTAAAAAAATTTTATGCAGCTTTATTTTATTTGTAAATGTAAAACTATGAACTTGTCTCCTCACAATAGATTTAGAACATTTTTTCTTGAATGTTAATAGAATTATAGGTATAATACTCATGTTCAAGCTTTTATCATTTCAAATATCTAAAAAGTAGATTCAGAATGCAATTGTTTATTTTTATAAACTTGTGGCGGTACGCCATGTTTTTGTAAATAGGGGTAGATATAAATTTTATTTTCTCCTAAATTCCTTTGTCTTTAACGTGTTTCTAGAACTTTCTAACCTATTCCTTTTCTGTGGGTGGGGGACGACCTTTGTCCAAGGACAAAGGGGAGAAGACAAAAGGGACATTAAGAAGCCCTGAGGCCATCAGAGAGAACGAACTGGATACTTTTGGGTCAGCGTCTGAGGTGTGCAGACGTAGGAAAGAGCAAGCTAGAGGTTTGTCGCCTAGTGGGACAAACGGAGAAGGCTTGGAAGTCGTCTGCGAACGGACGAAAATTAGAAAGACATCCAGCCATAAGACCTCAAGAAAAAACGCTCCCGAATTCTCAAGAGACGGAATCAAGAGGAAGGAAATTGAGTTAATTCAAGTACCAATATAGAGAAGATCGGAGACTCCCAAGTTTACCCGGGTACCCCCACAAAATCTGTCCTTTATACTTATCTCTTNTTTTTTTATTTTGTACAAACAAAATAAATATATTGAAAAATATAAAAACAATAAAAAATTATACTTCAGAAGTTAATTTAGTATCAAAAACGTAAAATATTTGAGTAGCCGAAGACATAGCCAAAGATTACAGCGCCACAGCACTGGCGAAAATTCAAATTTGTCGATTGAAATTCCTTCGGATATCTGACCTTCGGATAAACGACGCTCTACTGTATGTGGGTCTGACATTGACAATTTATTTTGTTGTACTTGACAATATACTCAAGACACTTGATTGCTTCAAGATTATCTTGTTTCATATGTGATATAGTCTCTAAGAAATTTTTCAAAAACTTAAGAACTTTTTGGACTTCTTTCATGTGGAAGGAGCAAGTCATTTGATATCAGTAAATTTTATTTCATTCTCATTGTATTTACTTATGTGTTTTTTACTTCAGTAATGATGTTATTTTCAGATAATTGTCTGTTGTATTAACAAACTCAGCCAGCCTTCTTGAATATAATAGATAGATTCTGCTGGAAATTCTGATTTGTTTGAAGTGTCAACACTTTATTGACCAAAGTCTCCTTTTGTAATTTTCAGTGATGCTTTAAAGAATTTCATTCCAAACTTACTGAATCACTTGCAAAGTCTGTAGTAGATTAATTTAAACTGGTGTGATTTATTTCTCATGCAACTTAACAACTTTCATAAATTAGCTTTCTATATCGCAATTTGAAATTTCGAATAATTTTTTCATCTGTAGATTACAATCTAAATGCTATGTTTGATAGAAAAAAACTAAACTGTTACAGTTTTTAAAGGAAGGATCATCAAATATGAAATGCAGTTATTAATAAAAGATTAATTTGTCTTTTTTGACTGACACCTATTTTCATTAGCCTATTAGAAAAGTTTGACATTATCCAGTAGATATCTTATGTGTAAGATGGACAAGTTACAAAATATCTGTAAAAGTTCTTTCATTATATTGAATATATAGGGTAGATTTCTGCTTTGAGATCTTTCCAGAAACTTAAGGTTGCTCTTGATTGCTAAGCATTAAATAAATATCCACAAGATTTTTAGAATGTTGTAGCTTCATTCTTTATTATTATTCAACTAAAGTTCTGTTATTAAATACAAATGCCTGTTCAGTTTGCTTTGCACTAATCAAATATTTTTTGGAATATGAGCAGTCTTTTCATATTACCAATATTATCAAGAAAATCATACAAAATTAGACATAAGATAAAATTATGAGGATTCTAAGCCAAATTCTTTGTTAATTCAAAATATAATGACATTTGAGTTATCAATCATCCAAATATTAAACTATTTTAAAAAAATATTCACTGATAATAATTGAAATATTTTGTAGGACTCTGCAAATGAAGCTTCTGGATTTAAGATGAGTAAGTAATTAAATATTTTTATAATATAATTCTTTTGCTGAATCTAAACTTTTATAAACTTTTTAATTTCTATCATTACAGCTATTTTAAATATTTAAAAAAATAATAATGATAATCAGTGCTTCATAAGCTATATACAGGGTTCATACAGACCTGGAAAGTCAGGAAATAAGATTTTTATCAGGAAAAGTCAGGGAATTTGCAAATACCACAAAACCCATTTGTTGCTTCTTGCTCCACTTTGATATAAATAAAATGTCTTTAAATTCAGTTTGGTATAGGGGAGTCTATAAAAACTGGAGCGACCAAAAGAATGGCAAAATTTGTTGCTCTTATATCTTGTAAACTATAAATGATAATCTAATGATTAAAATTTTGTTGGATAGATAGTTTGTGTTTGTATTAAAAATGGTGGGTAGTGGAGGTTTGTGGTTGTCCATGAACACTGAAAATGGCAATGCTGCACGACATTTCAGCAGTGTATAACTTTGGATAGTGAAGAGATAGGCCCTTGAAATTGGTGTAAATTTGTACAGAATGACAGGATCTACAATATTATTTAGCAATAATAGCCGATAAAATGGAATTTATAAAGTTATAAGCTGATAAGTGTGCGAGTTGAAGAAAATTTTCATAATTAAAGAAATTGCAAAGGAAATATGAACAGAAATATAAGAAACAAACATCATTGGAAAGAAAAATTTTAAAGAAATCAAAAAAGCCCAAAATGACTAATGCTGAACAGTACAGGTTGTATGGAGATCATAAGAAAGCCAAGCATGTTAACTCCGACATGAATACTTTGAGTGTGCTGTTGTCTGAACCAATAGATATTGACTTGGAATGTGATAATCACCAAAACTTTATTCATTTACATCTTATCCTTCCTCTAATAACACACAGACAGATTAACACCTTAAACGATTGCAATTATATTCGCATACACAATTCTCCCAATTTTTTTACCTGTGTGACATCTTGTTAACCCTTTATAATCAGTTGATGCCATGGGAGAAGCAAAGAACTGTCAGTTGGCTTAACAATATTGTGTACAGGACATTTTGAACTGTGTAGCTGACTTCACACAATTCGTGTATTCTTTGCTGCTGGCCACATAAAGTATGTGGAGATGATAATCCTGCCAATTTTGATAGAATGACAATTTTTTTATTATTATTTTGATATATTGTGCCTCTTTCTACTATACAGTAGAGCCTCGATTATCCGACCCCCGATTAACCGACCGTCCTAGTCGGCAAATTTCAAATGTCCACTAGTGATGTGGCGCTACAATATTTGGCTATGTCTTGGCTACTTTAATATTATTTTTACGTGTTTGAGCTGGCAACACTGGATCGACCATGAAAGGGAGCCAGTGTTTAAACGAGGCTTAATTTTCTAATTTTTAACAATACAATAGCGACGATTATTATTTAAAAAAATTTTTGTTAGGCTTAACATCGATGAAAATTCAACGCGAAGTAGATTAATAGCGATATACTAATATACTAATTACATGGGATATAATAATATACTACACTAATAATGGATTTTTTCATACTTTTCGGTTATCCGA